ATTGGGGACATTGTGACATTGGGGGACAATGGGGACATTGGGGACATTGGGGACAATGGGGACATTGGGGACATTGAGTGGCATTTAGGGACATTGGGGGACATTGGGGGACATTGGGGACACTGGGGACATTAGGGACAGTTGGGGACATTGGGGATATTGGGGGCATTGGGAGACATTGGGGATACTGGGGACACTGGGGGACATTGGGGACATTGGGTGGCATTTAGGGACATTGGGGGGTATTGGGGACATTGGGGTGACAGTGGGGTGACATTGGGGTGACAGTGGGGTGACATTGGGTGCCACTGACCAGGCAGTAGAGGCTCTCGGGGGTTGATCTCTTCGGGGCTGGGGACGGTGAGCGTGAGGTCCCCCGTTTTTGGGGTCGGGGTTTTGGGGTCTGTGGGACCCCGTAAAACCCCGCTGAAACCCCGCAAGGCCCCACTGAGAGCCAGGCGGAGTCGGGGTCGGTTCAAGGTGGGGAAACACAGCGAGCGGACGGCCGCCATGTTGGCACCCAAGTGGGCCACCATCAGCAGCAGCACCAGGAGCCACGTCAGCCTGTTGGCATCCAGAGAAACCCACGTGACCTTCCAGGACCCAAAAGATCCCACCTGACCTTCCAGGACCCCACAGGACACACGTGACCTTCCAGGACTCAAAAGGTCCCACCTGACCTTCCAGGACCCCACAGGACCCACGTGACCTTCCAGGACCCAACAGGATCCACCTGACCTTCCAGGACCGCAGAGAACCCACGTGACCTTCCAGGACCCAACAGGATCCACCTGACCTTCCAGGACCCCAGAGAACCCACGTGACCTTCCAGGACCCAAAAGGTCCCACCTGACCTTCCAGGACCCCACAGGACCCACGTAACCTTCCAGGACCCAACAGGACACACGTGACCTTCCAGGACCCAACAGGACACACGTGACCTTCCAGGACCCCACAGGACACACATGACCTTCCAGGACCAAACAGGATCCATCTGACCTTCCAGGACCCCGTAGGACCCACATGACCTTCCAGGACACCACAGGACCCACGTAACCTTCCAGGACCCCACAGGATCCATCTGACCTTCCAGGACCCCACAGGACACACGTGACCTTCCAGGACCCCACAGGACTCACGTGACCTTCCAAGACCCAAAAGGTCCCACCTGACCTTCTAGGACCCGACAGGACCCACGTAACCTTCCAGGACCCAAAAGGTCCCACCTGACCTTCCAGGACCCCACAGGACACACGTGACCTTCCAGGACCCAAAAGGTCCCTCCTGACCTTCCAGGACCCCACAGGACCCACGTGACCTTCCAGGACCACACAGGACCCACATGACCTTCCAGGACCCAACAGGACCCACATGACCTTCAAGGACCCCACAGGACCCACGTGACCTTCCAGGACCCAACAGGATCCACCTGACCTTCCAGGACCGCAGAGAACCCTCATGACCTTCTAGGACCCCACAGGACCCACATAACCTTCCAGGACCCAACAGGACCCACGTAACCTTCCAGGACCCAACAGGATCCACCTGACCTTCCAGGACCCCACAGGACACACGTGACCTTCCAGGACCCAACAGGACACACGTGAACTTCCAGGACCAAACAGGACACACGTGACCTTCCAGGACCCCACAGGACCCACGTAACCTTCCAGGATCCAAAAGGTCCCACCTGACCTTCCAGGACCCCACAGGACACAAGTGACCTTCCAGGACCCAAAAGGTCCCTCCTGACCTTCCAGGACCGCAGAGAACCCTCATGACCTCCCAGGACCCCACAGGACCCATGTGACCTTCCAGGACCCAAAAGGTCCCACCTGACCTTCCAGGACCCCACAGGACCCACGTGACCTTCCAGGACCCAAAAGGTCCCACCTGACCTTCCAGGACCCCAGAGGGTCCCCCTGATTGGCCACCCCTATGGTCAATCCAGTCCTCTGCCCTCTGATTGGCCACCAACCACAACTAAGCCCCACCCCTCATCCATCTCCATCGTTCGCGTGGCTCCGCCTCTTTTTCATCCCTCCCTTCTGATTGGCCAAACCCATAGTAAAGCCCCGCCCATTTTCCCAGCCCGACCCTCTTATTGGCCACACCATGCTAAAGCCCCGCCCCCTT